AAAAAAAAAAAAAAAAAAAAAAAAAAAAAAAAAAAAAAAATCACTTCGCCACCTTAAAAAAACATGGACCGCAAGGGGGAAGGGGGAAGGGGCAAGGGGGGAAGGTGGAAGGAGAAGAAGGAGAAGAGAGAGTACGGACAGGGAGAGGAAGGAGAGAGGGGACGGCAGGGAAGGGACCGTGAGTGGGGGAAGGGGGAAGGGGGAAGGGGGCGCACTGCTATGCGCGCAATTCCTCAATGCCCGCACCCGAAAACCCACCTACGTCAGAAAGAAAGAAAAAGAGACAAGAGACCACGTTTTCGTTTTTTGAAAAACACGTTTTCCGTTTTAGAAAAGTTAGGCTAGGCTATATTTTTCTCTCAACTTCACCTTTTTTTTTTTTTTTTCCCTTAACAACTTCACCTTTCACCACCCTGTGACAAACCCTAACGCTCAATTTAAAAAACTAATAATCATTATAAAAAAAAAAAAAAACTTAACAACCAAGCACTACACCGATCGTTGTCGCTTCCCACATAACCTGACGGCCTTTGCCACGTCGGTTACAGTCGCGATCTCCGTAAAAGCCACATCAGCAGAAGACACGTCAGCAGCTGCATGATCGGCCTGGACTGCACAATGTAAACGTAAGGTCGGGACCTGATTCAGCACAAACCCATTCTCACCATCTGCGACTGATTTCCAGTCGACAATCGGGTCGGGATCCCATCGACTTTGTTCTTTGTGGCCAACGTAAAGACACCCATCACATCTTAAAAGCTTCGCCGATCGGAGAGGGAGAGCACCTCCGCTCCACGTGTTCGATGATGACATGCTAGCGTCTGCTTTCGGGGGACTTGATGACGTGGCGGCTCCTGCTTTCGCGGGACTTGATGACGTGGCAGATCCTATCAAGAGACTTGATGAGGTGGCAGATCCTATCAAGAGACTTGATGAGGTGGCGGCTCCTGCTTTCGGGGCAATTGATAACGTGGCAGCTCCTATCAAGAGAGTTGATGACGTGGCAGTGCCTCCCTTCGGACTTGACGACGTGGCAGCTCCTATCAAGAGGCTTGATGACGTGGCAATGCCTCCCTTCGGACTTGATGACGTGGCAGCTAGCCCACAAGTTGCACTTTGAAGCTGCACGATCGTGGGTACTGATGGCTTGGTCACCTCATGTCCTGTCGGGACTTGATGACGTGGCAGCCTCTCCCTGGGAGAGGAGGTGGTCTCAATTGCCGCTCCGATTGCTTTTCGTTCAGGAGGAGGCTCCATGCGCTGGGATCTCGACGACGAGGAAAAGCTGCGATTCGGAAGAAGATGCTGGATCGTCGCTACCTCCTCCCTGACAACATCCCGACGAGGCTCCGTGTGCTGGGATCCCGACGAGGAGAAGCTGCTGCCGCATTTGCCACGTGGCAAAAGCAGCAGCTGTCCGGTCTCCGCAGTCGCTGCGGCTTTTGCTTGTCGGGACCCCGTGCCACACACAGTCCTCTTTTCCTTCATCACCAGTCTCATGTCGCGACAGCCTTGTCGGGACCCCTTCCCCTTGTCCATTCTCCTCCCCGCCATCGTCCACTTCTCTCTGCTTAGTCTTCGTCGGGATCCCTCTCTCCAACTCTTTTTGTTCCCCTTGAGCGCCTGAATCACAATCGCCGGAGTCTCCTCCTCCTCCTCCTCCACCTCCTTCACCTCCACCTCCTCCTCCTCCTCCTCCACCTCCTTCACCTCCACCTCCTCCTCCTCCTCCTCCTCCTGCTGCTTGTTCTTGTCGTCTTCCGTCCAGTTCCATTGGCCAAGAACCTTCGGCGGCCTCGACGGGTTCTTGGCCTCGATGACGTGGCGGCTCCTGCTTTCGGGGGAATTGATGACGCGGCAGATCAGGCTGATGGTTGCGACTGCAGCCATTCGATCTGGCTGACGTGGCACAATCTCCAAGCATCATCTTCCCGTCTTCCTCCATATCCAGAATCCCATCAGCTCGAGGATCTCCCGCCACGTGCCCAGTCCCGATACCGTCCAACAGATCTGCAAGCAAACGACGCCGTGCTCTTGGCCTGCCATCATCCGCTATCTCTTCTTCCTCCTCCTCCTCTACATACTCATTCACCACAACCTCCTCCTCCTCTTCCTCCTCCTCCACCCCCTCCTCATCCTCCTCTTCTCCTTCCTCCTCCTCCTCTCTCTCCTCTTCATCTTCGTCCTCATCTCTCTCTTCACCTCCAATTTCCTCCTCCTCATCATCATCATCATCATCATCATCATCATCGCCATCTGATTGCAAGTCTAAAATACCGACGGTCGCCTCGGTAGTGCTTTCGATCATGTGCAGCCAAGTCAAATGCATAAATCCCATATTCGAGATCATTAGGTGCGAGAGACTCCTCTGTGTCAGACGCGCGGCTTCAGCAACGACAACCATAACCATGTCCACCGTACGCATCCATTCGACGATGGCGACAACGACGGCAAGCACGACGATCTTGAGCTGCGCCTGACGACGTCCGCTGGGCGAAGGAACACGACGAAGAGGGGAAGCAGAGGGCGGCGGGACAGAAGGGACAGAAGGGGCAGAAGGGATAGAAGGGAGAGAGGGGAGAGAACGGAGAGAAGGGAGAGAAGGGGGAGGAGAAGGGGGAGGAGAAGGGGGAGGAGAAGGATCACCACTGGGTCCGCCGCCATCGCCGGAGCTTGCGAGATGATCTTCTTCAACGGGCAGCGATGGCAAGGGAGCGGCGCAACCTTCGTCTTCCATCTCCGATTAAATAAATAAAAAATAAACGTGAATAAATAATACAAAAGAGAGGGAACAGAGGGGATAGTCACAGCTTGGGAAGCGATGCGAGGACGAAGGAGATGGCGAGGCGTCGGACGATGTAGATGAATGGTGAAGAAGAGAAGACGACGGCAGATCGCTCCTCTGACTATTGCAATGGCGATGGCGATGGCTATTGCAATGGCGACGGCGATGGCGATGGCGATGATCACCCAATGTCGACGACAGTGACGACTCGACAATCAGTACGATAGATGGCGATGGTGATGATCACGGAATGCCGACGAGAGCGACTGCTCGATGATCAGGACGATGGATGAATGAATGATCAAGAAGACGACGGCGATCCCAGCTCTGGCTATGGCGATAACGATGACGATGTTTTCAGGGAATGCAGACCACGGTGACCGATCGACGATCAGGACAACAGAAGAATGATGAAGAAGAAGACGGCGATCCAAGCATCGACGATCAGGACAATAGAAGAATGACGAAGAAGAAGACGGCGATCCAAGCTCTGGCTATGGCGATAACGATGACGATGATCAGGAAGCGCTGGCAACAGTGACGACTCGACGATCAGGA